ATTCATCCATGCAAGTTAATTCACACACAAAAAAAATCCGTAATCTTTAATCAAAACCCATCAGGAATGGCCTTCGGTCTCTGACATCCGTCCAGCGGTCGAATGAAACGCCTACTTTTATAGATCCAATCAATTCCCAGTGGAAAGAAACAAGCCATGCCCTCTAGTTCCCTCATTCAGTATTCAGTTCACTCGGAAAATGCATCACATTACTGAAGTAAAGTCGGTCTCAACTTTAAAGGTGCAGTGTGTAATATTGACAGCTAGTGGCTGAAATGGGTACTGCAGAACACACAGTTTCTGCCAGTCTCATGCTAATCTTGAGTACGTATATAGTAGTATTGTAGAGCTACACAATATATTGAAATATCGCAACAGCTTGTAATAACTGCGGTAATGAACTAAAGACAAAGAAAATCACTCACTGCTCTTGGCTGAATAACTTTTGTAGCTTTAATAAGAATCAATATATCAAAAAACTTTCCGAAACGTATATGAATCCCCCGTCTTACGTCCAACTCGGGGTTTTTTCTTCACTTTGGCCATGTTTAGCATGAGAACCCAACTCTTTTAACAGTGTAAATAAGTCAGAATGTATGAAATGGCATTAGACATCCCCTTTAAGGACACGCAGAAGACACGAGCGTAATGGGTGTTGAAAACATTATTGGCTGAGTTTGCAGTGTGCGTGATGTTATGGATTTACTATTAAGTATTTTAGATTTGGCTCCCTAAGACTAACTATACTAGTATAACTTATACGCTGGCGCATCTATATATATATTTGAGGTTAGCTACGTTCACACTCCAGCGAGTCTCCAGTCGACTACAGCGCCCAGAGCCGATAATCTTACTTACTTGTTCTCTTGCGTCGCAGCTTTAATGTAAAACACAAAACACAAATACAACGGTTTTATAGAATAAGGAGGTATGGCAAAAAATGACATGAAACATTACTTAATTTGATTGGTTCTTCATAGACAAGCCCTCTTGTGACTAGGTAACCAAACTCTGTTTTTGGTTTCGAGTTTAGACACCTGTCTAGTTTCATTTTCCACATCTGTCATTTACACACACACACACACACACACACTAAAAGTCAAATGTTTTCCCTTGGTTTTGCACAGTACATTCGGTTCAAATGTTAGATGTTAAATTAGGTTAGATGTTAGTCTAACATGGTTAGTTTAATATATATATAGTTTAAATTTCCACCACAGTGATAACAGAACAAAACAAGAACAGACATTCAGAAATGTAACGCACTTTTAAATAGTTGAGTAACTGGCTGAAGCATTGTGTTGTTGTTTTTTAGAGAAACAAGTATGTCAATTTAGTATGTTTCCTTAATATCTGCAAACATATTACAGTATTTTTATGCTTTAGTACAGTCAAAAAATCCTTATCTGAAGGTTGGCACCTCCAAATCTCACAACCATATCCACCTTATTTTGCAACTTGTGAATGTGCGAGACTTAAAGTCCCCCTGTAGTCAATCATTTTATCCCTTTAAACTCATCTTTGATCACCAAAATGACATATTTAAACATTTTCTTGCTTGAAAAAAGTTTCTTCATGCCTTAAAACGGCTTGAATGTAATTCGACACCCTTGCCTCATTTAGTATGCGTGGTTCTATGAATATGCAAATGAGCCCCGCCTCCACTCACTCATGGTTTGTCTTAAAGCACATTAAAAACACCACATAGACACATAAACAACATTAAAAGCTGGATTTACACCACAGGGGGACTTTAATGTTCATTAGCCGATATAAGGAAATAACTAGAAGAGTAACAAAGTGCAAACTGTAAAACCATTTGTGCTACATACAATTGTTTCTGATAATAAATTAAAATAATATAATAACAAATACCATGTTGTAATATCAAACAGCATAACGGACAGTTTATCCACAGCTAAAAATTAATGGAAAAGTGAATGAGACCCGAGACTTAAAGTTACAAATGGCCACGTCCGCTCTAATGTTAAAAATAAGGTGGTGTGTGTTATTTCTTCCACTTATTTCTACTTTAGTCTCCGCCTTTTATTCATTGACTAAAAGTTGTGTTATTATTGTTTAAAATAAGCAGGGAAGCAGTTCAGTTTATAAATATTAATATTTGGAAATGTTTTCCACCCCAAATCAATGCAAACGGCTCAACCAACATGTAGCTAAGAAAGTCACAAAACAGGAAATGATGTCACCGAGATCACTCTTAAAAATAGGATGTTTTGAGCGTTTTATGACATGGAAAAAGTGGCTCGTTTATGCAAATGGTTCAACCTCAGGATATTCATAACTCCTTTTTTTTATGTTTTAGTTAGTAAAAATGTTTAATTTTCAAATGAATCTTGATGTTTTGTTTAAAATCTGCATTCACACTGACTTTCTGACCCAAGTTTGACCTCGGTTAGACAGACTTTGGTGTGTGTTTGTCAACTCCTTTCATGTGTTCATCGGGGGGAAGTGAGGAAACGAAAATTGCAGTTAATGTAATTTTGGCATTTTACTGTCAAGCTTAGATATTTAATTTTAGCAGATGACAAATGCTTATCAGAACTACATTTAATGCGTGTGTTTTCATGTGTGTTTTCCAGAGTAAATGAACTGTATGTGGATGACCCTGATAAGGACAGTGGAGGGAAGATAGAAGTGAGTTTAAACATCAGTTTGCCAAACTTACACTGTGATTGTGAGTATATACATAACATACATAAATACTCTTCTGAATGATGTTTGTCTAACCACATGTGTATTACACGACATGTTATGAGAGTTAGCTGTTGGTACGGGATCTTAATTCGCTGACGTGGATTGCGATACACACTCCCACACGAGTCTCGGTTTGAGTGTTGTGTACATGCATTGCACGGGTTTCTCACAGTCGGATTGGTACAGGCCTTTCGCCTCAATCAGACGCGCTGTTTTGAAACTCGACAGGAAGTCATATGGTCGTACGTGAGCAAACGTGTGAGGAAACACTATTTTTATATTTGTCCAAGGATTTGCCAAACATTTGATACGTCATGTTTTTCGTAAATGATTCATTCATTCCTATTGTGACTTAATAGATAGTCACTAGTTATGTGGATTAGGGCTGGGGGATCAAATGACTTTACTGGTGAAATAAAAAAAAAAAAAACTTTTTTTATTAGGTACGTATAGTGTCATGCACTAAAAATTGTTAAATATTCTTACTTGTTGATTTAGTGGAAAGTGTGGTAATATAAAAAAATATATATGTATCAGATTTTAGCATCAAATTTTTATTAAATGTTTTGAACATGACTGTTTTGTCAAAATAAATTGAAAAATATATAATTTTATAGCTTATCACATACCAGATCTCAGCAATTACATAGAGATGACACATGAAAAAAACATTTTTATCTGTGTCTCCAATCCCTAATTAGGCTCATAGAACAATGGATCGAGTGATTAGTTTCACTAAGCATTTAATCATTCAGACACTTTTATCCAAAGCAACTTACAAATGCTTCTTCTTCATGACTGGTTTAAGCAGTTAAAGGGACAGTTCACCCAAAAATGAACTCACCCTCAAGTTGTTCCAAACCTGTATGAATTTCTTTCTTCTGCTGAACACAAAAGATACTTTGAACCAAACATCCAAACCAAACTTCGACAGTATGGGCTAATAATACTATAGAAGTCTATCATGGGATTCATCAGCTGTTGAGTTCCTGACATTCTTCACAATACCTTCTTTTGTGTTCAGCAGAAGAAAGAAATTCATACAGGTTTGGAGGTGAGGGTGAGTACATATTGATTCAACTCATTGTCATGTAAATCAAAAAAAAAAAAAGAAACAATGCCTCGTTCTATTTATAACGTAGTGAAATGAAGGACAAATGCCTTACAAATGCAGATTTTGGGTCCAAAAAATAATAATGATATACATCTCAAAGTTGAAATTTGTTTGGAAAGTGCCCTGCGTCTGAACGCCAGCACCCTCAGAGGAGTTGTGGTCACCTCTGATGTCACTTTGGGCAGATCCTCAAACGTTTGGACACACATTTGCAACCGGCTGTTTCACACACATTACACACAGGCCAAACTATGTTCAGACTGAGCAACATCTTGAGCCGTTCTCATGGGTGAGGAATAGAGGTTTTGCCTATTATGGAAGACGTTTTTCTTTTAAATGGAGCATGTTTGACTGAAACCCTTGTTATGAGTCATGAAGACGATCCGAATAATGACCTCATTTACAGTTCTCAATCAGCCGTGTGAAGCACGAGTAGATATCGAGCTTTACCTTTTCTGAAGGATGCCTCAGAGGGTATTTCCCATGAGAGTAGGCTGGTTGCTAGGGCACTGAAATGTACCACTAACGCATGTTTGAGTGGTTGCTAAGGTGCTGCGGTTGGTGTTATTTAGTGTGAAATTCTGACAGTTTGGGGTTTTTTTGCTCACTTTATTGTCTTCTAGATGAAAAGTCTGATTATAAGAGCAATAATAATTGTATAAATTAATCAGTAGTCATAAGACATTCAAATTAATTCCATAGTAAATGATAATTGATAATACATTTCATGAGATATCCTCGGTTTTCCGTAAAACTACATGGGGCTTTTTCATGCTTTTACTGTATTTCTGTAGACATACACATCGTTCCCTCCTTTACAACGTCACTTTTCAACACTCGTGTGTTTATGTGGAAAATGTGGATGCTTTTTCCTTTCTGCGCTTGCTGAGAAAACCAAGTATTCTGGGCACACGTCGGTTTGCACTTAAAAGGGCAATTAAATGTTTCCATTCGCACATTTACCCCTTAACGAGTGGAGATCGTGTGGTTGTAGTGTACTGGATTGAGTCTAAGCTGTAGATGTCGTAGTTTATGCCTAATCAGTATTGAGCGAGGGTGGTTTACTTCTCTGGAAATTGTCAAATTCCCTGGAAAACGTTTACTGGCTGGCGTTTTTTGCACTTTTGAGATCATGAATCGTAATCTTACCTGTCATCATAAGAGGAAAGAGCCAGTGTTGCTTTCTTAGGAAGGCTTAAAATAGCATTGGGCTAATGGGACAACATGCTCTTAGTATAAGCATCAGAAGATCTGCCACGACACACTGTGAAAGGTCGGATAAACAGTCGTGCGTAACGGTTTCTGCTGAAACATGAACTTGTTCGGGATAGTTTACCCAAAAAATAACTTGGCCAATAACTGTCAAGATCCAAAAAACTCTGTGTTTTGGTGGATCGGATCACAAGTAGACGAGGGAGACTCATTCCCGTTCACACCTGGTGTTTTAGTCCGTCTCTTTTGTCCACTTTTAACCACTTCTGTCCTGATTTCTTCAAGGGTCTATGGACGGGTGAATATATGGGATCTTTAAATCTAATGGACAAAATAAGCTGGCGCAATTCACATATGAATGCGACCGGAGACGACGAGGGGAAAAACACACGGAGATCAGCATCTTTCATTCCTGCTCTGACAGTCTCAAGACCAGCCGAACGCTGCGAGTGTGTGTTAGAGATCAGGAATGGCGAGAGAACATTGTGATTTGTATGTTTTTCATCTTCAAACCAAACTCGGGTCTTCAGCCGATGAAGTTTAAATCTCGTCTGGCTAGAGCTCTACCCATAATGTTCCCGCATTAGATTCTGGCTTGTTTTGCAACTGATATGGGTTAAAAAAAAAAAAGCTGTAGTCTCACGACCGACATGTGCTGTAACTGTGGCTTTAAATCAGATACTAATATCTAATATCTGGACATCTGACCCACTTTTAAACTCGTATCCGATTCCCATTGAAATGCCAAGCCACCACAAGGCGAGGGAAACAGGATTTTTTTAAATGAATTTAATGATTTATTGGGTTGGAAACCTTATATAGTGATTGAACACACACAGAAACATTCAGGAGCACAGAAGCCGGCTGTTGTCTTCCCTTTTGCCAAATAGTTAGGAAAACACCCACAATGCACTGGGCATGTTGCCGTCCAAGGCCACTCCCACCAGTCCGCTCTGGACACGCCCACAGAGTCAAAGACCGCCTTGCTTTAGTAGGAAACACTTCTTAGCAAACGTTTAGTCTCAGTGGTGTCGACTTGTGTTGTTCCCAGTGCAAGAGTTCAAGGAGTGATCGTTTAGCGGGAGTGAGTTACTTTCGGTTTGAAGGATCCAGCGTGTTGTTCGTTGTAAAACCAAAGCCGATGAAGTTTAAACCCCGTCCGGCTAGCGCTCTCCCCATAATGTTCCCGCATTAGGTCAGTAGACGGTATTTTGTGGCTGTTTGAACACTTTCGACCACATGAGCGTTTACACTGAAAGCCATGCGTCTTCAACTCCCTCTGGAAGTGGTGAAAGTGGACGAGCTCAAAGCGTTTCAGGCCCGTTTACTCCTGTGTTTAGAGTCGTTCACTTGTGACCCGATCGACCGAAACACATCTCAATATACCAGGAGTTAACAGGGCTATAAAGATGTCCCAGAAGCAGTGCTAATGGCTCATTACAGGTCTACTGAAGCCAAACACTTGGAGGAACAACTCCAATTCAATCACTGAAAATCTGCCGTAACTTCAAATGTCGTTCAAACTCGCCTCGACCTTAAACACACACATCTGTTTTCCTCTTGTATGTTGTTGTTGAGTGCGCTGTGTTTACAGCTTCATGCAGATTACACGTTTTCACTTCTACCAGCAATTGTTTTAGATGCACTTTTCCTTTTAATTAACATCCCGAAAGTATTTGGACACTTGAGTCAAACTTTAAAATATCTGAATGTTATTACAAGAGAAAATCTCAAAGTAAGTGTCACCAAAGCAATGTTTGATTTTTAAACCGATGTAATAAAATGTCATCCTTTTTAATGTCTTAAGTGTCCCAGTGCTTCTTTGGGACCAATATACAGTCAAACCAAACATTATTCAGACACCAGATTTTGTTTACTAGTGTGATCAGGACACTATAGTTCATTTATGTAAGTGAGGAGAGCAGAATAAAGTAAACTGTGACTTATTATACCCATAAACTCTTCATACAGTGACTACCAGTAAAAATTTGGGACCGATAATGATTCCTCCACTTTGAGCTGATCATGTTTTGCTGAAGTGTGTTTTCTGTAATTGCTAATGCTCTTTTTACACACACACTGAACAACATGAAGCATTGCTTGGTCACTGGTTGAGCTAAACTGGTATTATCTAATTGTGTAGTTAAATTGAACAGCTGACAGATAATCAACATAACTCATGTGTGAGAGTCTAACAGAAGGACGGACAAAAAAAACCAGTCAAATATCCACTGATTTGAGAACTCTGAGTTCTGCTCATGTTTATCACCATTTTCTAAACTATAGCGAATAAACTGATACTGTGAGAAATGCTGAAGGTGTGTGAATAAACGCTGGTTTGACTGTACATCGTCATCACCGGTAATGTTGTTGAAGAAACAGTCCTTTTGTACAACGAAAATGAAAATTGTTCCTCGCCAATCGTCTGTTTCTGTCTGGCTCTTCTCCTGTGTTTGCAGTGGTGGGTTTGGACATCCAGGACGAGATGGGCCGGCATGAAGTGGGTCACATAGAGAACTCGATGAAGATGCCTCTCAACAACGGCCACGGATGCCGCTTTGAAGGAGAGTTCAGTATTAATAAGGTAAGAGATCCTGACGTCACTTGAACTCTTGTCTTGTCGGGTGTTGAATGTTTCCTGTGGAACTGCTCATCGTAACACTAGAAGCCGTGTGAGGTTTCAGTGGCGTCCTTGTAGATTGAAGCCATTTTCGCTCTCTCTCTAATAGAGATTGTGTATCTGATGTGTTTGCCTGTTTGATAACTAGGGGTGGAACGGATCACAGTTGACCCGTACGGACCAGTTGCCCCGCGGTTCGCCACGCCCGTGATTCACGGATTAACTGCTCAATTTAACCATCATAGAGTGAAAGTTAACATTTGGACATGTTTTGTCTTACCAATTTACACATTCGAACAATTTTAAGTGCAGAAGAGGCGAACATCGGGACACACACACACACACGCAGAGAGAGAGAGAGGCGTTTCAGATAGCGCTCGAACACCGAATTGATTCCTCTTTCGTGTTTCCTTGCCCTTGAACGGACATATAAACACAATTATGTCTAAACACCCGTTTCGGCAAGTATTCTCTCGGTTTTGTCATAATTGAACAGTTGAGAAAGAAACCGGATGTTTGTCGGTTTATTCGGCCTTAAAGTATCATTAGCCTAATATTCCTGCTGTCGTCTGTGTCATTAATGTTAATAAAACAACAAAATACAGCTTTAACAAAGATGAAACTATATTTAATTTATACAGTGAACAAATAGTGTTATTTTACATACTTAGGCTTAATTATTAATTTCTGTACCTGAATACTACTGTTAGACTTTGTAAATGTGTAATTTAGTTTTATCTCTGCTTGTAATTTGTTAATTTGTTCTTATTTAATTACTGACTGTTCACTTGTTTTTATTAATGTTTGAACTTTATCAGTTAGGCTAGTAGTTTTTGATGCAGTATCGAAGAACGTCAAGTGAGCTTTAAGTAATTAATTAAAAGATATATATATATATATATACACTCACCTAAAGGATTATTAGGAATACCTGTTCAATTTCTCATTAATGCAATTATCTAATCAACCAATCACATGGCAGTTGCTTCAATGCATTTAGGGGTGTGGTCCTGGTCAAGACAATCTCCTGAACTCCAAACTGAATGTCAGAATGGGAAAGAAAGGTGATTTAAGCAATTTTGAGCGTGGCATGGTTGTTGGTGCCAGACGGGCCGGTCTGAGTATTTCACAATCTGCTCAGTTACTGGGATTTTCACGCACAACCATTTCTAGGGTTTACAAAGAATGGTGTGAAAAGGGAAAAACATCCAGTATGCGGCAGTCCTGTGGGCGAAAATGCCTTGTTGATGCTAGAGGTCAGAGGAGAATGGGCCGACTGATTCAAGCTGATAGAAGAGCAACTTTGACTGAAATAACCACTCGTTACAACCGAGGTATGCAGCAAAGCATTTGTGAAGCCACAACACGCACAACCTTGAGGCGGATGGGCTACAACAGCAGAAGACCCCACCGGGTACCTCTCATCTCCACTACAAATAGGAAAAAGAGGCTACAATTTGCAAGAGCTCACCAAAATTGGACAGTTGAAGACTGGAAAAATGTTGCCTGGTCTGATGAGTCTCGATTTCTGCTGAGACATTCAGATGGTAGAGTCAGAATTTGGCGTAAACAGAACATGGATCCATCATGCCTTGTTACCACTGTGCAGGCTGGTGGTGGTGGTGTAATGGTGTGGGGGATGTTTTCTTGGCACACTTTAGGCCCCTTAGTGCCAATTGGGCATCGTTTAAATGCCACGGCCTACCTGAGCATTGTTTCTGACCATGTCCATCCCTTTATGGCCACCATGTGCCCATCCTCTGATGGCTACTTCCAGCAGGATAATGCACCATGTCACAAAGCTCGAATCATTTCAAATTGGTTTCTTGAGCATGACAATGAGTTCACTGTACTAAAATGGCCCCCACAGTCACCAGATCTTAACCCAATAGAGCATCTTTGGGATGTGGTGGAACGGGAGCTTCGTGCCCTGGATGTGCATCCCACAAATCTCCATCAACTGCAAGATGCTATCCTATCAATATGGGACAACATTTCTAAAGAATGCTTTCAGCACCTTGTTGAATCAATGCCACGTAGAATTAAGGCAGTTCTGAAGGCGAAAGGGGGTCAAACACAGTATTAGTATGGTGTTCCTAATAATCCTTTAGGTGAGTGTGTATATATATATGCAGTATATATATAATTTTATTTTTATTTATTTTTTTGTATTTATTTTTTTGCTGATCCGAAAAATGATCCGATCCGTGAATTGTGAGATCGATCCAGTACTAATGATGGTGGTGTTGTTCCTCAGGTTCCAGGAAACTTCCACGTGTCGACACACAGCGCCACCGCTCAGCCCCAGAGCCCGGACATGACCCACGTCATACACAAACTGGCCTTCGGGGAGAAGCTGCAGGTCGGCCCGCCGTCATCCGTCAGTAAGAAATAAAGGACGGTGTAAAATCAACATGAATAAGTCATTGTGATGTCGTTCAATCGCAGGTGCAGCATGTCCAGGGGGCGTTTAATGCGTTAGGGGGAGCCAACAGACTGCAGTCCAATGGTATGTCTTTAGCCTTATATATATATATATATAGTCTGGGTCAATGACGTGACAGTCATTTATGTTTTATCTATTTTTTTTGTTTAAAAATACATTGAAAATGCACTTCATGTAATGCACAATGACTTGATTAAACCTCTTCTATGATGAACGCTTTAAAAAAGAATTGGGGGAGGGGTAGTCAAAAATGTCAGGCTGCGCTTATATAATAAAAAAGGCAAATTAAATTAATTAAATTCTTGAAAAGAAAAATACTTTAAGTATTCACAATCATGGTTACACTTTATGATAGGTTCCATTAGTTAAAGGTACACTATGTAAAAAAATAAATAATTTGTTTAAAACTATTAAAATGTAAATAATGAGTCTATGGTAAGCCAATTATAAGTGTTCATATTTTAGACCTGAGGGGATTGTGTTCACGGGGAAATTGCGTACATACGTCACTTGTGCATGTGTATGGAAGCTTGTTTTCGCCACAGAATGAAAAATAAAAAAGGTAATTGTGACTTTTTATCTCACAATTCTGACTTTTTTTCTCACAATTGCGAGTTTACATCTCGCAATTCTGACTTTATTTCTCAGAATTGCGAGATATAAAGTCAGAATTGCGAGATATAAAGTCAGAATTGCGTGATATAAAATCGCAATTGCGTGTTATAAAGTCAGAATTGCGAGATATAAAGTCAGAATTGCGAGATATAAAGTCAGAATTGCGAGATATAAAGTCAGAATTGCGAGATATAAAGTCAGAATTGCGAGATATAAAGTCAGAATTGCGAGATTTAAAGTCAGAATTGCGAGATATAAAGTAAGAATTGCGTGATATAAAATCGCAGTTGCGTGTTATAAAGTCAGAATTGTGAGATATAAAGTCAGAATTGATTGATATAAAGTCGCAATTGCGTGTTATAAAGTCAGAATTGCGTGATATAAAGTCAAAATTGCGTGTTGTAAAGTCAGAATTGTGTGATTTTCCCCCTTAGAATTGGCCTGATAACTCGCAATTGCGAGTTTATATCTCATAATTCTGAGAAAAGATGTCAGAATTTCAAGATATAAACTCGCAATTATGTGTTATAAAGTCAGAATTGCGAGATGTAAACTCGCAATTGTGAGAAAAAAAGTCGAAATTCTGTCTTTTTTTCTCGCAATTGCGACTTTATTTCTCATAATTGCGACTTTATATCTAGCAATTGCGACTTTATTTCTCATAATTGCGACTTTATATCTCGCAATTGCGACTTTATTTCTCACAATTCTGACTTCATATCTCGCAATTGTGAGATAAAAAGTCGCAATTATTTGTATTTATTTTTTTATTCAGTGGCGGAAACAAGCTTCCATACATGTGTGTCTCGTCACATCCGTTAATAGAGTAAAGTTGCTCCGACTGCTTTGAAGTGTGTGTGTTATAATGCATAACATCGTTTCATAAATAATTATAACTTAAAACAGGAAGTGACATCATGACTGTGTGTCGAGGGCAAGAAATCTCATGAAATATCGGGCAAGGCTGATTGGTCATTTAGAGTGACTCGCTAAAAATGGTATAAATAGTTTTTTAATTAATCATAATATTTTTGGAATTAAAAAAAAAAAAATTGTGGACACTTTTACTTGCTATTAAAGGCCTTTTCAAACCAAGAACAATAACTATAAAGTTAACTATAATAACTACTATAACTAACTATATTATCGTTCACACAAATGTACGATATCGTTCTGTTTCTTATAATCGCTGCAGTTTTGTCTTCTGTCGCTTTAAATGCTCAAGGTCCTCAAAGCAGGAAGGATTCTGATTGGCTGTCAGTGTTTTTATTGTTCATCAGCTGGGAAAAAATCATTGTGATTCCAACAATTCGGTTCGTGTGTGTCGTTATCGTTACAGTTGTTGTGTGGATTACACTATTGGAGTCAGAGCAATTGTTAAACCGTTATAGTTATAGTTCTCGTCTTTGGTGTGAACGGGCTTTAAAGGGGTCCTGATGTAAAAGATGTCAAATAAGTCTCTGATGCCCCCAGAGTGTGTATGTGAAGTTTTAGCTCAAAATAACGTTTTCATCATTTTTTACAGCATGTTAAAGTTGTCACTTTTTGAGGGTGAGCAAAAACACACTGGTTTTGTGTCTGTCCCTTTAAATGCAAATGAGCTGCTGCTCCCGGCACAGGGGGCGGAGCTTAAAGAGCTTGTGTGTGTGTGTGTCTGTGTGTGTGTGTGTGTGTGTGTGTGTGTGTGTGTGTGTGTGTGTGTGTGTGTGTGTGTGTGTGTGTGTGTGTGTGTTAGTTAGCAGCTCCGATTACCCCACACACACACTGAACATTTCAAA